TATTTTCAAAATCATCAACATTTTTAACATGATCATCCAAATTGTTAGCATCGACAAACACATTTTGATTAAGACAAAAATCATTCACGCCCGTATAGATATAGCTAAGAGTCTCGGTGCTTATCAACATCAAACAAATCCATAAAACCCGCATGCTTAACAAAGACTTGGATTGTCTTGTATTGATTGATTATGTTACCTACTTCTATCGAGTATCCATCATTCAAAGAAAATTTCAATCCTTGTGGAAATCTCATGCCGACGACTCTATATCAAATCCTAGAACTATCAAAATCCACTAATTCACTAGGCCATATGTTTTTAAAATCAATTAAGCTAAAAGTTTAATGATTCACTTCCTTCACTATTTTTTTTACCTTCAATATATGCCATATCAAGTTGGTGTTGTAGGCACCTACCATAATAATACTCAACATAGCCCACATCTTTGCTAAAAATAACGAAAACATCTAAGTAAGAAGCAAGTCTACTTACCTAAATATAATAAAGAGACAAGATTGAAGATTCTTTGTTTGAAATAGAACCACATAAGAGAGAAAAAAAAGATAAAAATTGAGAAACACAAATTAACAAACTTAAACATTGAATAATCACCCACCCATAGAGAAAACTCACCACCCATAGAGAAAACACAATACCCCACATACCCCTATCGCTAACCTTTAAAGGGAGTTACCCAACATTATAATCAAAAGAATCAAACAACAAATTAAAAAAAAAAAAAACTCAAGATTCAATAGTTGTTTTGTCAACAAAACTTACCTTATTTCTCAAGTTTGTGACTCCTTTTTGCTTCCAATCTTTCTCGATTTTGCTTTTTTTCCCCTCGTTTCTTACCCATTTATGACTTTCGATCTATCCAATCTCATAAAAAATATAGATTTTTTCCAAAATAATTTAGGGTTTTTTCTCGTCTCTCCATGATCAATATAAATTCGAAATGTGTCTTTGATTTCTAATATAATTCAATTTAGTTTATATATATATACACATTAACAAAATGGTGTGAGTTAAACAATTCGTTTAACTTACACCGTTTTGTCAATGTTTTAATTGATTATTTTTTTTCCTTTAGTTTAGTTAGAACATAAATATTAGCTAGAACCGGATTAGTTTGCAGCATTTGGATTATTGCAACCGACACGTGGAAGTAAAAAAATACCATGTGATAGGTTTCATCGAACACGTCGATAAAATTAGATTTAGGTGAACTCGGTCACCAAAACAAATAAAAAATCAAAGTTTGAATAATCAATCATGAGAAATTAACGATTGGATACCAAAAAAACAAGAAAAAAACTAAAAAATTAGACATAAAAAAACTTTTCTCTCACAAAAAAAGAAAAGAAAAAGAAATACTTAAATTGCAGTTTTCTGTTGTTTTCACAAGTGAAATTGTCGCATCACGTGTGGCTTAATTGAGGAACTTCGGTTCAAAATTGACATATGCATTAGTAACTTCAATGTAGTAATACTAATAATGCAAGGGACCACAAAATTTGTTGCCTGTTCTTTTTGAAGTTACTAATAAATTTGTACTATAAAAAAGTGGGAGCTTCCAACCACCACGTTGCATCACTTAAAGCTGCACAAATATTAGCAAATCAATGGGTTTTAGATATAAATATTTTTTTCCTAGTCTATGCTGTGAATTAAATAAAATACATGAAATTATTTAAAAAAATTATTGTAATATGATAATATGTATTTTATTATAGGTCCGTAAAAATATATCAATCAATGATAAAATATTATAATATGTACTTTATTATAATTTTTTAATCATATTTTTGTATTTAATTATTTCTTTTTTGTATTTTTCACAACTTTCTACTAAAATATGATTTATTCTCTTAATTTATGGATTTTTAACTAAAATAATTAAATAATTTTTAAAAAGCTTTAGCATTTCATAAGATTGTATTGAAAAAGTAAAATAATAATGAATAAAAACTTACATAAAAATAAACAAATAAAAAAATTATTTTTGATTTTAATATATTTATTCACAAAAAATGAATAGTATTAGAATAAAAAAATATTTGAATCATTAGGTGGTTATACCAAAACATAATTTTAATTATTGAATTTTAAAAAATAAGTTTAAAATATCCAAAAAATAATTAAGAAATAAATAGTAAATGCTTAATGTTGTGATAGTTGTATAGTTAATTTTAATAAATAAAAAACAACAATTTGATAATTATATTGAGTGACTTTAGAGTTTATAATGTAAGACAACAAAATACTATAAATATTTTTTTTAATTTATAAGGAATTTGAAGTTAATAGACTAAAATAAAAATTTTATAAAATTAATTTTTAATTTTGATTATATAAAGAAAAAGTAAATAAAACATATGAATTCTTTTTTCTTCTTAAATAATTTTTTGGTTTAGAGTTTATTATTATTATTTTTTCGTCTTTGTGGAAATATTTGTTAATTACAAATGCTTGGGGTTCATATGAACATAAAAGTCACTGGTTGAAATTGAGTGGCCCAAAGAGGTGAGACGTGGAGCCTTACTGCTTGGCGAGCTTTGGATATTGTTGGTTCCTCTGTTAGTAGAAAATATTTTATTTGAACCCTTCCAACAATATAATGTTGCAGTGTGTTCTTGTATAACAAAAATTTTATTCAATATCAATCAGTTGTATGCTGATGGTATTCGGATTTAATGGTTGATGGATATTGTGATACACGTATGCTGATGGATATAGTTGGTTCCTCCGTTAGTAGAAAATCCTTTTTTTTTCCCCAAAATATCAAATGTTTTTGTCAAGTAAAAGAAAACAAAATTTTACATATATATTCTGAAAAGAAAAGGCATGTATGTTCTCAAAATCACACGTCAAATTTTTCTTTCTTTTATTTGGCAAAAGTTTTTGATTTTTTTTGCACAAAAAAGAAATTAGATTATTTTTAAACAAAATTTATTCAAATACACGTATCACGACATCATTTATTAACCCTTATGTACTAATACCATCAATATCAGGATAGATGAAAAATTGGCATTAAATAAATAATTTATTGTATAGAAACAAAATGCAGCATTATATTGATAAAGAGACCCAATAAAACATTTTCTAATAGTAGAGGGAAGACCAATTAACAAAACAAACTAAAGCACAATGGCTTTTAATGTTCATGACACTATTCACACATGCACATATAAATCATTATTTTTTTAATAATTCATGGCATTATTGTAATTTTCAAAATATTTTAAGGCATTGAATATGCAACTTGTAAAAAAATGACTAGTTAAGATGAGTTTTGAACCTTAAACCGAGTTTATCTGTCTTATTTCTATGACTTTAAGATGTTTCGAGACAAAAATGACGCTGAAATTTGGTTTTGAAGGATAGAAATTGAAAAACACCCATTTGTTTGATGAATTTTTCAGCCATCTAAACTTGATCGGAAATCAGAGGATGCCCTAACAACACATTGTATGTTTTTTCTTTTTAAAGCTAGTTAGTGTAGGTCTCATTTGGTTTTTTTTTCTCTCCTTTGTTTCAATGGAATTTTTATTGATTTTTTTTTTTTTTGGTAAAAAATTATGAAAGATCGACCATCATCATTATTATTTTTTTCACACAACCTCACAAGAAAAGAGATATATATTATATATTTTCATATTTTAGATTGAACATATATTTTAATTATTTAAAATTTATTATTTTAATTTGTCATTTTTTTATGAAAATTCTCTTCCATTTAATTTAAAATTATATTCACCGATAATTTTGATTTATTTGTATTTATGTATGGATTTGAAGTAAATTTTTAGAACACGATTATTTTTCTTTTTAAAAAATAAATTGATATAATTTATATGGTTGATTCCTAGAGTTTTTAAATTATATATATATATATAATTTGTCTTGGTTATTTAGAGAAAGATAATTTTTTAAATAGTTAATTAATAATGAAAAGTCGAATGCGGGAAAAAAAAAGATGATTGCTTGGCATGTAAGGCCCATGCACAAAGAATAACCATATATAGTTAAGAAATAAAAAAAATATTTAAGAAGGAAAAAAAAGGAAAAAAAAAGAGTATCTACTCGTTAAAATGGACCAATTTAAACCACGTGGTTGACATATGTGTAATAAACTGAAATATAATAAGTAAGGAGTGTGAACTAGTTATCGTGGGAGTGAAATGACGAGTAAGAAGTTCATAAAATATCATGTATATATTCTTAAAATTGTGCAAAAATCTAGAGAGAATAAGGGTTTAATACTCCTCGTGTTCTTGTACTTTAACAAAATTATCGTTACAGTACGCTATACCAAGATATAGTCCATAACGGACTTTATATTATTAAAAGTTGGTGTAAAAGAATCCCTCCTTTATCTTTTTATGTTAGTTTGACTAACTTGCGTTAGTTGACCAACGAATGACCAATATAATATCGACCCCTATCAATTTAAGGATGAAAATATAATTTTGTTTGTACTTTTCTTTTTCCTAACTTGGTTCAGTAGTTAAAATCATTTAAAATAATTTTAAAAAGGATTTTAAATTGGAAAAAAAAAATCGATCCTAATCGTGGTTTGCTCTCTAGTCGGTTGAAACAAGATAGAAAAGAAATCGACGAAAACTAAACAATCAACCTAAAAATATCTCATTTTTTCATCTTTTTTGTCATTAAGCATTCTTTGTTTGTCTATACGTGTCTCTTTGTCTTCTCTACAGAAGTTGGTCTTTTGATCTTCCTCATCATCACCGAGTTATTTGTCCGTCTCTCATTCTTCCATTGTCTTTCCCTCTCTCTTCATCTATCTTTCTTTCATCGTCTCTCGGTAACTCATCAACTTTCTGTCGGTCTTCATCTATTGAAACCAAGATTTGTTTGTTGTAGTATATTGTTTCCTAAAAAAATAAAAGTTTTAATTTTCCTCTTTGATTTTCTATTAGTCTATGTTTCTATGTCTTTCTTGTCTCTCAAAAATTCTCTTATACAATTTGATGCAAGCACTATCCGAGGGATTTTATGTAAGTATGACCATAGAAACATGATAGAACATTGGTTTTTTTTTCTTTAGGATTTCTCCTTGAGGTAACCGAGTCATACTTTTTTAGTATATGTTTCTTTTTTTTAATTATATGTGGTATGTTCATGCTAATAATATTATTTTCCTTTATGTAGGGTATGCTTAAAGATGTTAAGCATTTTAACCTTTTATATTGGAGAGGAGTTTAATATAGTCAATAGTTTAGAATATATTAGGGGGTGTAGTAAGAAAGGTAATTGACTAGACAAACTATGTTTTGGGAGCTTGTTAGGACTATGCATGGACATAAGGTATTCTAATATTGGTAAATTATATTATACAATGGTAGAAGCTGGTTCCATAATAGACCATGACTTGAGGATAATTAGTGAATAAGATGATTCTTGTGTTATGGAGATTATAAGTTATTTATTTAGGAGTAAACAAGTTCAAATTTACATCGAACACGAGTAAGAGACACTGCCTATTTTTGACTAATCAAAGGCTAAGTATTATGTGTGCTAGGTTGGGTATTAATGATAAGGGTTAGAGGGTTAGTCCATATAGCTTAGGATATAGTAATTACAATACTAGGATTAGAGGTCATTGTGACTTTGGAATATGATGCTAGTGATAGTGATGTTGTGGGTGGTTCAGTGAAGGTAATGAAAGTGATGGATCGGGTGATATAAGAGACAATATAGGCGAGTCTTGCTGCTGCTAAGGGTAATGTAGGTAAGTACTCGGTGTTTGTGAGGGCAAGTGGCTAGTGGTGGTATTGTTTGGGGCAATGTGGTCGGTGGTGGTGATGCAAAGGTCAATATGGGCAATGGTGGTCCCTTTGAGGACAAAGTGGCTAGTGATGGTGATGTATAGGTCAATATGGGCAATGATGGGTCTTCCCGAGGGTAATGTAGCCAATGATGGTGCTTGTGAGGGCAATATGGACACTGAAGTGCTGCTCGAGGGTAATATGGCTAGTGGTGGTGATGCCGAGGCCAATGTGGGCGATGGTGGCCATGGTGTAGACAATCTAGACAATGATGATGATAACATAGGGATAAATGAAAAAGATATTAAGGAGGAAAAGTATGGAAACCAAAAGTGATAGACTAAAAGAAACTTCGAATTAAAGAACAATAAGAGCCTTTTTTTTAACATAGCTATCTAAGATATGAAGAGTTATGAGATGCACATATTGCTATAGAATGGAACACAATAGTAGATCAAGTATTCAAAAGGTAAACATATTTGCCAAACTATTATTTCTTTAATTATATCTATGTTTTACCGAGTTTGTTTATGTCTTGTTCATGTAGAAAAATAAAAACAATGATGGTAGCTTAGTCGAAGATGTTCCAGCTAGTGATGATATTAATGTGGTCGGTGATGTTGAGAATGTAATTGGTGGTGGAGATGTGGGTAGTGGACATGATGATGCTATCAAGATGGTGTTGCTGGCAATGTAGGTAGTGGACATAATGTTTTTGATACTGCTTATTGAAGATGTGGGCAAACAGAGCGAATGGACATGATGATGATATTAATACTCGTTGTTAGAGATGTGGGTAGACAGAGTAGCGAACATGATGATGATTTTGATACTCGTTGTCGAAGATGTGAGTAGACAAGGTAGCGGACATGATGATGATGTTGATACTGCTATTAAAGATATGGGCAAACAAGTGTAGTAGACATGATGATGATATTGATATTGCTATCGAAGATGTGGGCAAATAGGGTTGTGGACATGATGTTGTTATTGATACTAATGCTGGAAATATGGGCGGACAAAGTAGTGGACATGATGATGTTTTCCTTGTAGTTACTAACGTAAATATGGGTAGTGGAAATTTTTTTGTTGATATTGATGTCGAAGATGTGGGTTAATCAACACGAGTTTGATACTACCGATAGAGAAGTTACACCAATTGTCAAAAATAAGAAAGAAAAAGAGTACATAATGTTAATGTTGCTACTTTTGAATTACGTACAAGAGTTACATGGAGAAATGCAAGCAGCTCAAAATGAAGTATCTAGAAGAGTAACAAGAAAAAAAAAAAAACTAGTTGGACACCATTCATGTTGTATTTATTTATTTTGTTTACATAAAGCTAGATACTATAAATTGCCTCTTGAACATCTTTTGTACTTAAAACTTTCTTTATGAAGAAAGATAGATGAAATTTTAGTCCATTGCTTTTGTTAAATTAATATTTTTTTTCAATATTTTGTTAAATTTACTAGAACCATATCGATAATCGGGAAGTTTAAAAACAAACCAAATAATATACTCGTAATTTGAAATTCAACAAAATAATAAAATACTTTTAATTATAATTCAAAAGAATTACATCAACCCTTAATTATAATTCAGAACCATAACACCAATTCTTCACTTGATGAAAAACAAACCATATCGAAACAATAAATTGAAAATTATTCCCACGTTTAACAATTTCTAACTTTGAGAAACCTTCAAGTCTAACATTTCGATTCCAACTCTTCAATTTTGTTAACCAATTCTTCCTTTTCTTTCTCATAGCATAACTTCATAAAATTATGTTAAGCAAACAATAACTCATACTCTTCTTCTTCTTTCTTTAACTCATCCCTCAATCTTTGATTGGCAATATGCAGCTCTCTTTCACATATCCTCAACCCATTAATGACCACCCTAGCTCTTTCTGTTTCTCTAATTTTAGGATAAAGAAACCCATAAAAACCACATTGATTTTTTTTTCTCTTAGACAAACATGAAATCGCAAACCCGGATTTTCATGAATCCATGATGTCCATCTTGGTGTCTTCAAACCACAGATAGCACCTTGTCTCTAGACACATATAATCCCACATGGGTTTTTGATGAAAAAAGAGCATAATTTCTTATATCTTGCTCTGCTTAAGATGATAGGGAAGAACAAGAATCCAATATAAGTGATAAATTGTATCAATAAATGAATTAGTCAATATTTTTTATTCAATTAAAACAATAGAAGAAGAAAAATTAGGGTTAATCAATTTGGAAATTAATGTTTGCTCAAAAAATTTAGTAGTTATATACAATTGCAAATATATATTGTAAAGTGTAGCCAAACCGTGATTAGTTGTAATTTTGTTTTTATCTTTTTTTAAAATTATTTTAAATAATTTTAACTACTAACCAAGTCAAGAAAATTACAAGCAAAATTATGTTTTCACCTCTAAATTGATAAGCAATGACATTGTATTGCTCATTCATTGGTCAACTAATAGAAGTTAGTTAAACTAAGCGAAAAAAGATAATGGAGGGATTATTTTACACTAACTTCCAATAGTATAAGGTTTGTTATGAACTATATCTAGGTACAAAAACTATGATGATAATTTTGTTAAAATATAGGGACATGAGGCATATTAAACCCAATAGAATAACTTATAAGAGAGGAGTGATGACTTCAAGACCATTCCAAAGAAAAACAAAAATTAATGGTATAAATTATAATTCTATATACATGTGTTAAAGGATGAAGGGTACAAATTAAGGAGTTACGAAACATGGTTAGAGAAAGATAAAAATTATCTAGGAACATTTTATAGAGCGATTAATAGAGACATAACATTTAAGAAACAAGATTCGTGAAGGAAGAATATGAACAAAAATCATCAACAACAATTGAAAATACTCAAAGAGCTCAATCAATTACTTGATACAACCCCGTACGCATACCACTTGATTAGGGTTGTTTTATTAAATAATTTAGAAAAGTTAAGTATCTATAGGTAAATTATTTAGTATCTATTATTGAAGTTCAAAAAACCATGTTTCATCATGAATGTAAGTGCTTATGTACCTATAATGTGAAGTTCAATATATATTTTTAAATTCCTATTTATATTATATTGTTAGCATATTCTCCCTATTTAATTAATCTATCAATTGTGTTATTTAATATTAATTAATCTTAAATAATTACTCAAATTATTGTGTAAAATCAAAGTTCTCTTAACGAGATGTTGACATTATTTTAGGGACCGAGTAAAAGTGTCAAATTAGTCTATTTAAAACTATGGTACCAAAAAAATCAAGTCGTGCAACACTTAACCCGGGAAAAGGAGAAGAAGTAGTGGAAGCTTCTATCATAAAAAAATTGTTATGTGAGAAAATACTTTTGTAATAGAGACATAAATTCTAAAAATAATGTTATTTGAAGAGATACAAATGATCTTTGAAACAAGAATGAAAAAGGCTACTTGATTTAATTGAAGAAAAATTTCAAATAATGACTTCAAAAATAAGAAGTAAACATAAATTGAAAATATAAATATTTATAAAGAATCATTATATAGAGATTTAAAATATGAATGATAAATCAACTCATACATTGTTAGAATCCAATGTAAAAGAAATACAAATAGTTACATAAGGAATGAAGTTTGAAATTGAATAATTGTAAAATTTAGGCAAAGAATCTCACATGGGGTTAATAAAGACTACAATGGATATAGATGCACATCTAGATGCTTAGAAAAGAAAAGAAAATGACAATATAATCACTTATTTAATAGTATCATGTGTGAAACTTTTAATAGGATTTCAAAGCAAGTGGCAACAAAAGTTAAAAACCATATAAAAGGAAAAATTATAAGAAATCCATGTTTTGATCAGATGAATACCCTACACAAAACATGAAAGATTTGAAAATTTCTAAATCTTATTTCATGAAGAATAATTCTTTGTTTGAGATGGGGTAAATTTGAAAAAACCTAGTGATAATTAGTAAATCAAGAAGTAATTTTAAGTACGGACATGGTACTTGATGAGAAACATACAAGGAATAGGAATTTTCATAAGAATTTTAGAGTTGAATGTTCACATACTAATAACTTAGATCTTGATTATATTTTAGGTATCCTTGAATAGGTCTATGATCCAAGAGTGTAACAAATTTATCGACTAATTTATAATAGACTTTATCTAGAATTTATTGACTAGATGTTTCCTTACCAAACATTTTTTAGATTTTCAGAACTCACTTTGTTTAGTCGATAAGAATTATGTTTGTAGCAAAACATAAAGAAAAGTTTATTTGTCGGTGTAGAAAAGCTGTAAATTGTGACTTTAAATTTGAGATTATTCCCAAACTTCTTCACTAGAGGTTTTTTTTTCCTTGGCACATAAAATTACCAATTAATTCTATTCATAATTGGAATGAAATAAAGTCAATCTTTCAAGCATTTTTTTTTATCCTTAGGGTATTCTAAGCCTAAAAACCCAAATCAATCCCTTGGTATTCATTCGGATAAACAAGACTCCAATGCTACGTCAAAGAATATCTTTCAAGCATAATTTCCATTATGTGTATGAAGCACTTTAGTCATTTAATTCAAAAAAAATTTGTTATAGATAGTTAGAAACTGGTATGTCTAAAAAAGAATGGTCCTCCTATTTCTCATTTAATTTTTGCTGATGGTTTAATTTTATATGTTGAAGTTGAAACCGAGCGAGTTTCATGTGATTAAGGATGTGCTTAAAAAATTTTCTTCTTATAGGTTCATAAAGTTAATATGGTCAAAATGAGAATATTTTGTAGTGTTAATGTCCCTAATTATAAAGCCAATGTGCTTAATAAATCTTTTGACTTTCAAGTAACGGATAATCTAGGTCAATATTTGGAGGTTTCTATACTTCATAATAGTATTAACATGATCGCATATGATCCGGTTGTTGAAAACATTAATCGAAGGTTATTTGAGAGGCAAACGAATCATCTTTTTTTAATTGGCGGGATCACTCTAACCTAGTATCTCCTTTTGAAAATGCATATTTATAGCATGCAAACCAACATATTACCTATTGCTACTATTAATGCCGTTAAGAATTGGTGTCATATATTTTTATGTGAAACTCGAGAAACTTTGTAACGTTCACCTAGTTTCTTAGAATACTATGTTAATCTAAAAGTAATGTAGGTCTTAACTTTAAAAGAATGCAAAGGAATAATAATGCTTTACTAATGACAATTAGGTGGGAGATCCATTTTAAGGAATTTAGTCTTTAGGTTAGAGTTCTACATGGGAAATACAAACTAGAGGCTCATTAGATGCCTAATAGCTATAACATCCTCA